CAACTTAAGTTTCTGAATCCGACGCTGTTTACTAGGGGGGCTCAAAATTCCGATCAACCCAACTCAATCCAACGCTAAATAACTTAACCCGAAGCAATCCGATGTCTATTATTTGAACCCAACCCAACCCGATGAACCCGATGTCCATTTATTTCTTGAATTTAATATGATTGCTGACTTTCTATTAATATATAGACTAGACAATTACATTATCACGTGTACGCTATTCATATACACATCTTTTCAATCTATTCACATCTCTATATAACTCATTCGTATATATGTTCAATAACTGTAAACATATATACGTAAATTGAGAAAATTAACTGAATTTGATATACGTAAGGAGTATGGATCAGTTGTATCAAATTATTGATGATGAAAAAGAAATTATGAGTAAAAAAATAATATATTCAAGGTTAAAAGAATATTTAATGTACCAAAGTATCAACCCGATCAACCCAACCCATGAGCATTAGGGTTTAGGGTTTAGGGTTGGGTTGGGTTGGGTTGGGTTGGGTTGGGTTGTGTTGTGTTGTGTTGTGTTGTGTTGCAGCTTTCGTTTGGGTTGGGTTGGGTTGGGTTGGGTTAAGATTTTTCAAACCGCAAACATTAGATTGAGAAGTTAAAATGTCTTCAACCCGATCAACCCAACTCATAAACACCCCTAGTGTTTAGGGGTTAATACCTCTTAACCAATACAAATTTGTTTGTATTTTGGTACTTTTTGCAGGTATTCAAGTAATCAAGTTTTAGAAGACGGCAGCGCGGTGGTCGTCGGCGGCCGGTTGTCGTTCAGCTACGAAATCGTCCCACCGCATCTCCTCGAATTTCCGGCGAAAAAATTCAACCTCCCTTTCCTCCAAGAAACCACCGTCCCGAAGCTGCCGGGACCGGGAATGTACATCGAAAACAACCTATATCCCTTCCTCTTCCTCCTTCCCGACGGCAACGTTTTCCTCTTCGCCAACGACCGTGCGATCATCTTCCACCCGCACAACGGCGTCATCCTACGCCAGTTCCCTAAATTGGTCGGCGGAGCTCGGAATTACCCGCCGTCCGGCATGTCCGCCCTTTTTCCATTAGATCTAACGAACGGTCCACAAAACGTCGTGGCGGAGGTGGTGATTTGCGGCGGCAACGCGCAGGAAGCTTACGCGTCGGTGGATTCAAAACACACGAAAAATCCGGTGTTCATGACGGCGCTCCGGGATTGCCACCGGATAAAGCTCTCCGATCATAATTCGACATGGGAGCATGAACAGGATATGCCGTCGCCGAGATGTATGGGCGATCTGATCCACCTACCCACCGGAGATCTGTTAATGCTCAACGGCGCACAAAAAGGCGTCGCCGGTTGGGAAAACGCCATAGATCCGAACTTTACGCCGGTGCTTTATACACCGTTTAAACCGTTCGGTCAACGGTTTAAGGAAATGGTTCCGACGACGATCGCCAGAATGTACCATTCCTGCGCTGCGTTGGTGCCGGACGGGAAGGTTTTGGTCGCCGGAAGTAATCCACATGCGAAATATCTTTTGAAAGCTAAATATCCGACGGAATTACGAGTGGAGAAATTCTCACCTCATTATCTCGATCCGGCGCTGGACGGATTCCGGCCAGTAGTTTTTCACGAGGGATCGGAGAAGGTGTTGAAGTACGGGAAACAGTTTAAGATCGCCGTGAAATTGACGGCGGCGAAAGTGAGGCCTCGAGATGTGACTGTGACGATGATTTATCCGCCGTTTACGACTCATGGTTTCTCGATGAATCAAAGATTGTTGATTCTACCGTTGTCGACGGCGGTTAAAGATGTGATAACCGCCGTGGCGCCGCCGTCGGGGAAGCTTGCTCCGCCGGGGTACTATATGTTATTTGTGAATTACAGAGGGGTTCCGAGCAAGGGTATTTGGGTCCATATTGATTAGGTGGGACCCTCTGTTTTTATGTAAAAAACAAGTTTGACTAATTGAGAGTCAAACATTAGTTTTTGTTAAATTATATACATTTTTTAATTTTATTTTTGATATATTTATGAGTTAGTTTTATGTAGTTCGAAAGTAATATGATAACGGGTTTACGTGAATAGAATCATAGTTGACGAATGGAAATTTTCCCGATTGTGAAATAGTTATTTATGAGATCTGATAGGGGTGTCGGGTCGATGGCCCGGTGTAGTGATGGCCAAACGGGCCCGGGACTGGTAAGAACCGGTTATAGGACCGTCGACCGGGACCGGTTATGATTTTGGAGGGTTTCGAAAATGTAATAGACCTCAAATTAAAAGCTAAGACGATGTTTAGTTGATAAGCTAGCGGTTAGCTTATAAGCTAACTAGTTTGACAAAACTAGCTGATAAGAATGTAAAATGAGCAAAAAAAAATTAATCAATTGTAATATTTTTAAAATATAATCGAAACAAATCTTTAATAATATAATATATTAACTAATATAAACAAGATACTAAAAAAATATATAATATATTGATCAAAATATTTTCAAATTGATTGTTATAT